TTTTTTTTTTTTTTTTTTTTTTTTTTTCTGGCAGCTGGCTGGTGCAAGGATCCAAACCTTTGACCTGGGTGTTATAACACCACCCTCTAACCAACTGAGACAGATTATTTTCTCAACATCAATTGTTTTCTGATCTGCTGGACTCACCCTACCCTAATAAAACCAAAGTCACAGGTGTATTTTAAAACAGACCCAAAGAGGACTTCCAACATAGGCCTAGCAATCATAACATCTCTAAAACTAAATGGATATGACCAGTGGACTGGGAAAAGACATTTGCAAATTATATACCTGATAAGGGAATTGTACCTAAAATAGATAAAGAACCATTAAAACTCAATAATACAAAGACGAATAACCCAGTTAAAAAGTGGGCAAAGGATCTGAATAGATATTTCTCCAAAAAAAGATAGACAATGACTCATAGCACATGAAAAGATGCTTAACAGCATTAGCCATCAGGGAAACGCAAATCAAAATCACAGTGAGATGCCCCTTCACACCCACTAGGATGGCTAGGGCAAAAATGACTAATAATGCCAAGTGTTAGTGAGGATGTGGACAAATGGAACCTTCATGTGCTTCTGGTTAGAAAGCAAAATGGATAACCACTCTGGGAAAATAGTCTGGCAGCTTCTCAAAAGGGTACACATGGAATTACCATATGATCCAGAAATCCCACTCCTAGGTGTATACCCAAGAGAACTAAAAATATATGTTCACACAAAATATGAGAATATATGTTCACTAAATATGTTTCAAATACGTTCATATATATAAATATATATGTTCACAGAAAAATATTTGTTCACACAAAACCTTATACACGAATGCTTATAGCATCATTATTCACAATAGCCAAAACATGGAAATAACTCAATGTCCATCAATGGATGACTGAATAAATAAAATGTGGAATTGCGTGATAAATGGAATAGTATTCAGCAATGAAAAGAAATGAATTACCGGTGTATAAGTCACAACATGGATGAACTTTAAAAACATTCTGCTGAGTGAAACAAGCCAGACACAAAAGTCTGTATAATTTCATCTACGTGACATATTCATGATAGGCAAGTCTGTAGAGACATAAGGTACATTAGGGATTTTCTAGACCTCAAGGAGAAAGGAGTAAGGGAGATACTTTTGGGGGTGATGAAAATATTCTAAAATTGGTTATGATGATGATTGCTCAACTCTGTGAATATACTAAAAACCATTCCATTGTATACTTTAAGTGAGTGAATTGTATAGTATGTGAATTATATCTCAATAAAGCTATTATAAAAACAAAACACAGCCAAAAAAGCCTAAATGTTGGAGCCAGGTTGCAAGGAGCCATCCTCAGTTGTGAAGTGGACTTGTTTTCATGTATTTATCACAGTCTGTCATTTTCTTGTTTCTTTATTTGTTCATGATTACTGCCTGTTGTCCCAACAAAATGAAGGTCCAGAGAAGCAAAGCTTTGTTTGTCTTCTTGACTTCTGAGTTTCCAGTGCTTAGTTCAGGGGTAGAACCTAATAGGCACTCAGTAAATATTTCTTGGTTGAATTAATTAATTACTAAGACCATCTCTGCCTTACTCAACTGAAACATGTCTCTACAACGCCCAGAGTAACAAAGTCATCAGCTTGTTACTGAGGACCTCCTAGGGGCTACAAACTTTACTTTCATTAATTCCCTCATTTCTTATATCCACACTTAGACTATAAGCTCCGTGGAACTGGGAATTTATGGTTCACCATATCCTCAGCAGCTAGCACAGTGCCAGGCACATAGTAGATGTGCAATGAATATATGATGAAGGAATGAATGAATGAACCAGGGCAATGGTTATTTTATTCATTCATTCAGCAAATATTCACTGAGCATCTACTATGCACCAGGGCAGTGCTACATCATTTTATTCCCAAAGCATCTTCTCAGAGAGTCAGGGATTGTCATCACTGTTTTAAAAACTAAGAAACTGAGATTCTGATGTGGGGGAGGATACTTTCCAAAGACCACACACTCTTTGTGGAGAAATGAAGGAAACTAGCATTTCCTGAGCACCTACTATGTGCCAAGCCATAGACTCACATTATCTCACTTAATTCTCACATGATGACCACAAGGAAGAAATGACAGTGTGCATTTTTTGGATGAGGACACAGAGGCTCAGAGAGGTGATGTCGGTTTCCTGCAACCACATGACCTGTCGATGGCAGAGCGCCCACAGCCCAGGGTTGCCTAACACCTGGGAGTTCCCTTTCTCCTCCTGCCACCTCACACCCGGAGCAGCTGGCTCCGTCTTCCCGAGAGGTCACACTCACTCTTGGCAGTTGCTGTTGTAGCTGAAGACGCATTTCTGAAGACTGTCCAGGGTCATGAGGCTGACATGCTCGAACATGTCAAGGGAGACAACCAAGCCCTTTGCCAAACGCCACCATTTAGCCTGGAAGAGAGATACATGGCAGATGGGCATACAGACTGCAGCCTGCAAGCCAGCCTGACAAGGAGCTAGCTGCGTCCTCACCACAAGTCCACTTTATAGATAAAGTGAGGCCTCCTGACATCACATGGCTCACCCATGAATGGGTAACAGGGCCACTCTCACTCACAGGACACCCTCTTCCCACAAGACTTGGGACTCACATGCATGATGTCAGCGCACTGGTTGAAGATCTTCATGTAGGGCTTCAGGATGTCAAAGTGGAAGGCAGGTGTCAGCATGCGGCGGTGACGGCTCCACTTGTCACCTTTGCTGAGCAGCAGCCCATCCCCTGGGCCCAGAAGACTGAGGTTAGGGGCCCCTCCTGTTACTCTGAAATCCTTCAGGAAACCCCACGTCCTGCCCTCTCTTCCCCGAAGCCCCAGTCCCAGCCTAGCCACCTGGCACTCACCTAGCCAAGGTTTCAGGAAGCCATAGAAAAGGTCATCCTTTGGGGCAATGGCCGCTATGAGAGAGAAGAGGCAATGACGACTGTAAATAGAGTTCTGATCCTTGACCACTGCTTATTACCTCATTGGGCCTCCTCATTAGGTTCTGACTTCCCAACTCACCCCTCCAGTCCATCCTCCACGCCTGCCCCAGAAAGATCCTTATAATGTGCTGATATGAACATGAGCCTCCCCAGCTCAAACACCTCCCATGGCTCCCCATTGCCCTTGTATAAAAGTTCAAGCTCAGTCTAGCATTGAAGGCCCTGCTCCATCTGGTCCCTGTATGCCCCTCCCAACTCATCCTTCAACATACACCAGACAACCCCGTTCTCATCGTATGCCGTCACTCGCCTCCAAACATTTGGCCAGGCGATGCTCTCCATCTAGAATGGCCTTCTTGGCCCGAGTCTTCCCCCAACCCACCCTTCTCTTTTCTGCCAGGTTGGGCCATCTGTATTACACCTCCTGGGCTCCCCTAGCCTCCAGCCTTACCCTCTTCAGTCTGTCCCTCACGCTGGCCCTGGGGTATCTTATCTTACTGTTGGATCTGACCATGTCCCCTCCCTGCTCACACGCCCATTACCCTCAAGCACCAGCTGCTCAGCTCATTTTCAGTGATCTGCCCTTGTCCAGACCTCTCTTAAAACATCTCTATCTTCCACCCCCTCTCACTCAATGTCACAGAACTAACATCACAGAACTTTTCTCAGCTCCTCAGAAAGGCCATGAGATCTCTCTGCTCTGAGTCTTTTCACTTGCTGCTCTCTCTGCCCCCAACACTCTTCCCTCATCCTCTGGTCTCAACTTGGGTGCCACTCCCTCTTCTACCAATCACTCTGAATTGTATCCATCCAGATACAAGCCCCTTGAGGGGAAGGACCATGTTGGTCACTGATATATCAGTGCTAAAGAAATTGTTATTGAATGAATGAATCAATCAATCAAAGGATGAATGAATGAAAGAATAAATGGATGGATGGATGGATGGATGGATGAGTGAGTGAATCCCTCTTATATACATTGAACAGATTTGGGACTGAATGGGCAGGGACCCAGGAAGGAAGTACTAGAAACTCAAGTGATGTCACTTTTACCTGAGATATGACTCAGTCACCTAAACACACACTCCCCAGAAATTGGCCAATAGTGTGCACAGTCATTTGTCTACTCATTCTCCCATTCAACACACCTCTTCTGCCGCCTTTCTGTGCCCAGCCCACTCTGGATGATGCTGGGGACCCTGAGATGGCTCAGCCCCACGCCCTGCCTGGAGGAGCTCCCGGGTCGGATGGGAAAGGGAAGCAGAGGCACACCATGCAATTATCCAGAAGGTAGAGAGTGTGCCAGATGCTTAGGGAGGCACTGAGAAAGGGCTGCTGGAAGTCAGGGCAGGCTTCCTGGGGGAGGCAGCACTGGAGAAGGAGATGGGAATCTAGACATTTCTCTCCTCTCTGGGCTCTGGACTCCAGACTAAGCCCCTCAGAGGTCTTCCTGACACCCAGATCTGGCCAATGGCTGCCCCGCTCAAACACCTCCCATAGCTCCCTATCACCCCCAGAATAAAGCGCAAGTTCATTCACTTCATAGTTTAGCTTCTCCTTAACCCCCAGTCTCATTTCCTACCTCTCCACACAGGTTACCTCTATTCCAGCCACTCCAGGTCAGCTGCATTCCCCTGGCACTTTCACATGCCTGCACCTTTGCACTGGCAGGACACTCCACCTGGGACTCCTCACCTGGAAAACCCCTTTGGATTCCTCGAGGCCCAGCTTCATTGACACCTCCTCCAGGAAGCCTTTTCCAAGAAACCTCCACAACTGAACCCTGGCTCATTCATTTTCAGGACCCTCATCCACTCCAACCCTGATCATTCCAGGCCAGGAGAGTCTGGGTCCAGGTTACCTCCCTCATCAGTTTCCACCTCCAGTAAAAAGAGGAGATTGTAAAAGAAAAGCCCCTACATGGTACCTAGCATGGAACAGCTCTTGCACAGAAAGCCGGATATCACTGTGGTCAAGAGCTTGGGTTCTGGGCTAGCCAGGTCTGTGTTCAAATGCCAGCCCCGCCACTAACTAGGTAAGTGGCGGGGCTGGCATAGGTAAGGCTGGACCATGCTGCGCCTCCACCTCCTTATCTGCCAAAGGAGGAGATAGAGTAATCCTGCATCATGACATCCCTAGAAGACTCAACAAGCTAATGTGTTCCTGACACACAGTTAAGTGCTCATTAAATATGTACATAAATGAATAACTGACCAACTATTGGCTATTTTTTTTACTATAATTATAATTATTGCTTATTGGCATCAAGAACTTGTGAGATAAATATCTGGGTCCCCAATTAGTAAAAAGTGAATGCATGGCTGCTATCAAAAACAGCAAGGTGGTTCCTTAAAAGGTTAAACATGGGATGACCATATGACCCAGCAGTTCCACTCTTAGGCATATACCCAAGAGAAATGAAAGCCTATGTCCACACCAAAACTTTCACACACATGTTCATAGCATCATTATTCGCAACAGCCAGAAGGTAGACATGTACAACCCAAATGTCCTTCAATGGACAAATGGATAAACGAATTGTGGTATATCCCCACACTGGAATATCACTCACCCATAAAAAGGGATGAAACACCAACAACACAGATAAACCTCAAACACAGGACACTGAGTGAAAGAAGCTGGTCACAAAAGACCACATTTTGTGTGATTCCTTTTATACGATGTATGCAGAACAGGTAAATCCATAGAGACAGAAAGCAGATTAGCAGTTACCAGGAGAGGAGGGAGGGGAGAAAGGAGAATGACTACTTAATGAATACAGGGTGTTTTATGGGATGATGAAAAAGTTTTGAAACTAGAGAGAGCTGGTGGTTGCACAATATTGTGAATACACTAAATATCACTGATTGTTCACTTTAAAGTGGTTAATTGTATGTTACATGAACTTCACCTCAATGAAAAAAGAACATATAAAAACAAGCTTCAATTATATGCTTATATATCATGTCTCATCCTCTAGAAAGCATTTTCACCTACTTTCTCCCATTAATATTACTTATTCCAAATACCCATAGGAAGATGAGGAACCAGAGGCTCCCAGAGGAGCTGTGCCTTCCTTAGGCCCAACGTCTATGTGGATTCAAGCCCAGAGCAGCAAGCCCCCAGTGCAGGATGGAGTCTGTGACTTGAAGCCGGGCCTGTCTAATCCCAGGTGGGCAGGCTCAGAGGGGCAGGAGCACCCTAAGGCTGGAAGGCCTCACTCTGGGCTGACTCACAGTCCTACCCTCTCCATCCTGGAGTTCCCTATCTGGCTCCTCCAGTGGGGGAGGCAGTGGATACCCTGCCAGTCCTGAAGGAGGGGAGAGGAAGAGGCCTGCATGTCTACTAAGTACCAGGCCCATGCTGGAGGCTCTCCTTCTTGGTCTACTCAGAATGTCACAACCATCCAGGAGGGTGCTCAGGAAACTGAGGCTCTGAGGAGGAGGAGAAGGGTAGGAAGAGGAGGAGGAGGAAGAAAAAGAAAGGGAGAGGAGGAGAAGGGGGAGGAGATAAGGGAAAAAAGTATATTAAAAAGGCAGAAGAGGAGAAACACTTTTTAGTACCTACCCATGTTATATTCTCGAGCTTTCACAACTGCCCCCATTTTACAGATTAAAAACTGAGGCCCTGAAAGGCTAGTTGAATTGCTGGCATCACACCCCAAGTACGTGCTGGAGCCAGGATTCAAACCCAGCACACCAGTGTCCCACCCCAAGGCTCTTCCCACAAGTTGGTGCCCATCCCTTGGAAGAGTGACTTCTCCCAGGGTCTCAGTTTCCCCTGTAGTTCAGTGGGGATTGTCATCCCTTCACAAACACAATAATGGGGGATGAAGAGGCATGAGAGGGGTACAGCTGGGGAAGGGAAAGATGGCAGTCCCTTCCTTTTTAAGAGCTTCTGGATGGGAGCCTTGGAGGCAGTTTCCAGGTGTGTGTCTATAGAGGCTCAAGCTGGGGCCAGAGAGTCTAAAATTCTTGGAGCTTTTTCTTTCCCATCCCTCCTCTCTCAAATGTCCCCCCAGTGCCTCTGGAGGTGTCCAACTGTGCTGAGGATCCAGAGCCCCACGTATGGGGAAGACAGAGCCAGACACAGACATCCAGCCCTAAAGGATTAGGACTGACAACGGGAAAGTCTGGAGGAGAGAACTGTGTTCTATCTGGCGGGGGGGTCAGGGAAGACTTTCTGGAGGAGGTGGTCATTGGAGCTGGGTGTTGAAGGCTGAGCAAGAGCTTGCCAAGCACACTTGGGAGTCCCCAACCTTGGGATAGGTGGGGACTGCAGAAGAGAGAAACAATTCACCCATATCCCCGCCCTGCCAGTCACAGTCAGCCCAAGTAATAAGAGCAGGCTATAGGCAGGGCCATCAAGAGCCCAGGCCATGGTGAGAGTGTCAGAACCCAAATGATGGGAGTGCCATGACCTGGGATTGAGCAACACTGACTTAAAACTGTAGGCGAACAACTTCCTATCCGAATGTGCTTGGTTCTGACTTCCAGTTGGGTGGACATTCCATCAAAGTTCTTGGGACTCTTAGACATTGTCACACCCTCGTTCATGCTGTTCCCACAGTCTGGATTACCATTCCTGCTTTGGAGAACTCCTATTCATCCCTCAAAACCCTACTCAAATAACCTTCTCTCTGACCACCCACCTGCCAGCAGCCCAGGTGGGCTCTGGGGGTTGAGGGTTCACCCACTGCTCAGAGGCCCAGCCCACCTACCTGAAGCACCCATCAGAGGCTTGATGTAATCAGGGTGCACCAGAACCAACAGTGGCAGGACGGGTCCCATCCACACCAGGACCACATGGTGCATGCTGTCCAGCACCTTCTTCTCATCTTGAAGGCCTGTCTCATTCGGAAGGTACTGCAGGGCGGCAAGGGAGGGGCAGCGAGGAGGTGCCCGACCCCAACTCCCCCCAGCCCCTCCCTCCTACCACCTCCCTGGCCCTCAAGCCCAGAAGTGCTGTACTATTGTGAGCAGCTGGCTGCAGCTCACTGAGCCTGCTTTTCCTTATCTGAAAAATAGGGAAGAATTGAAGAATTAACTCCCTCTGATCGAGAGGATTAATGAAATAACAAAGCCCCCAGTACGGGGACTGACGCATGGCTGGTGTTCAAGAAATAAAAATAGTCACGGTAAATACGATGATGAGTGGGTGGCACTTATCAAGAACTTGTGGTGTTAGCAATGCCACTCTTACGGATCTTCAACACACACATGCGGCTGCACTGTGTTGGGCACCATTATAGGCACTTTTAGTGTATTGATCATTCAACCTGCACATGAACCCTGTGAAGTCATTCCTATTCTTTTCTCCATTTTGCTTTGCTCAGAAAGGTCAAATTGAAGTTACAGGTAAGGAAGGAACCATCCTGGCTTGAGCACCCCCAGAAGCAGATCCTGAAACAAGGGTTCTATGGCAAGCCACTTTTGGGGAGGTGATCCCAAATAAACACACGTAGAAGCATAGAGAAGTTAGACAGAGATAGAAAGTAGCAGGGACAGAAAGGGTGACCTGTCATGGAAGCTACCACCATGGGCAAATGTGGCTCCATCCTGCTGGGGAGCTCTGGACAACAGTGTAGGACTTTGCACCTCACAGTCAAGTCACTGAGGGAAAGGGAGCTGGGGTGTCTATCCACCAATGCCCATCAGTTATTGGCTAAGTGACTTGCCCACAGTCACACAGCTCCTGGGGTGTTAATTCCCAAACTCACAGTACACACAGGCAGAGAGGCCTCCAACTGCCAGAGAAAGCCCCCAGAACACAGGTGCTGGCAGGTGGAGGTCAGGCCACTGCATGCAGAAGTGGGCCGAGAGGAAACAGGCAGGCACTGGAATCATCTGGCACAGTGGCAAAGCCAGGATTTGAACACAGGGCACCTAGCTCCAAAACTCCTGCTCTTAATCAACGGGCTCTATGAGGCAGAAGTGCTTCAGGCTTTATGTCAGACAGATCTGAGTTCAAACCCACCTTCAGCAGCTATGTGACCATGGGCAAGTCACTTAACCTCTCTGAGCTCGAATGTACAAAAGAGCGAATCTATAAAATAGGACAGATTTGTGCCTACTTCATGGACTGTGAGAATTAGAGGAGAGCTCAGATATGAAGGAGCCTAAACCTGTGATTGGCTGGTGAAAGGACCCAGAATTTGAAGAATAAAAGAATGAATAAATGTGTCCTCTATGGTTCCTGGGTCTCCTTTTCTATCAGGCTCAGCCTTGAGCCTGTTCACATCCAAGGGAAATTGTGGCCTCACCCAGGTCTCATGGGCCCAGGAGGTGGGCTGGACCCACAATGTCAAGGCTAGGCTTCAGAGCCAGCCCAGGCCACCTGCCTTCTAGGACCACCATCAAAGCTAGAGAGGGTTCCCTGGAGTAACGGCTTTGGAGATGGGACATGAGAAATGCATAAGAGTTCAAGCAGAGAAGGCTATTCGGGGCAAAGGGCACAGTATTAGCAAAGGTGGGCAGTTGGAGTCTTGTTACAGGAGGAGAAAGTCATTCCATGGGACTAAAGGGGGACGGTGGAAAAGGTGAGGAGGTTGGGAGCAGAGTCTAAAGGGCCTTGAACACCAGCCTTTCTCCAGATGGCAATGGGGAGCCATGAAGAGTGTGTGAGCAGGGGAGGGACACAGTTGGATTCAAGAATATCTCTGGGGCCAGAGTGGGGCACAGACTGGAGGGTAAAACTAGAGGCAGGAGCCCAGGGAGGCAGCTGGACTATGGCCCTGCAGCAGAGGCTGAGGCCTGAGTGGGGGCTGAGGAATGGATGAAGGGAGGAAATTCAGGCACAAACAAGCAAAACTTGCTGCGTGACAGCCCCAGGGAGAGGAAGGGCTGGAAACATCCTCCCTCCTAAGCCCTCCACTCTGAGACAACTCCAAAAACTAAATAGAATGTTCTTTGAGCTATTAAGTGGAAATGTGTCTCCTGGTTCCTTCTTGTGAGACATTCAGTCTAAGCAGTACCTAAAATATTTCTAGAATCACTCGTTACTTCCAGTCTCTGCAGGACTCAGCAGTAGAACACAAACATCCGCTGCTGTGTACCAGGCTCAGTGCCAAGCACATGACAAAATAACTCCAAGGAATCCAAGAAACAATCCTGTGAGGTTATTAAGAACTGTTATAGTCCCCACATGGCAGAAGGGGAAACTGAGTCACAAGGAGGTTAAGCAGCTTACTCAAGGTCACACAGGCACTACATGGTAGAGACGGGCCTCAAACCCTACACTCCGGAGTCCACACTGATGACGCCAATCTGCCTCTCCAAAGTCCACCTCCAAGCTCAGCATGAAGACTGGACCTCATGCAGGTCTCCAGCAACTGTCGCTGAATTTCATTTAGGCCTGGTGGGTCCAGCAGGCAGGTAGGGACTGGACTCTGTGGTGCAGCAAGCCCCACCACCCTCAAGAGTCTGGCTTTCTCTCTTCAGACCTCTGAAGCCCTTTTAGAAAAGTTGAGCCTGTCGCACCCAGAAACTAGAAACAGGCAGAGGGTAGAGCTAAGAGCAGGTGCACTAGAGCCAGACGGCCTGGTTGGAACCCTAGAACTGCCACTTATGAGCTGTGTGACCTAGGGCCAACTACTTAACATCTCTGTGCTTCGGTATTCTCAGGTGCAAAATGGGGATAGTCATGGGACCTATCTCCTAGGGTTGTCTAGAGGACTGAATGAGTTAATATTTGCCTGGAAAAATACTTGGCACATATGCATGAAATAAAAAATACAATGCAAGGATAGGGTCCTGACCTGGGACCACAGCATACAAGGAACAGAGAGTGAAACCACATTGGGGATGGGGATGGAGTATCAACATCTACTAGAAACACCCATCCCCATCCTCAGCATCCCAAACTTCACAGGTGATGATACCCGTTGCTACAGCAACAGCTATAGAATTACAGAGAAGTTGTCTTTAGAGTCAGCTCTGCCTCATCCCAGCTGTGTGACCTTGGGTAAACTGCTTGCCCTCTCTGAGCCTCAGTCTCATACCCCATAAAATAGGTCTGTTCATAACCCCGACCAGATTCTAGAGAGCATGTGCGAAACCAGCAGGCCCACCATCCTTATTAAATACCCCATACCTGCCTGGCCCTGCCCAGCCTGCCCGGCCACACTCACCATGCCCAGGTGGCCCAGCAGCCAGTTACGCCGGGGCGGCTGGGGGAAGCAGCGCAGGCGGCGGCAGGTGATGTAGAAGCGCCAGCAGAGCCTCAGGAACTGCAGCAGCAGGTGGAAGAGGATGAAGAGCACGGAGACGAGGAGGGCGGACCCAGCATACATGCGGAAGGCCGTCTTCTCCAGCCCCAGGAGGTGCAGCAGGTGGTCTGTGATAAGCAGCATCCTGGGGGACACAGAGGGTGGAAGATCAGTGCCGGTGGGGGCCACCCTACAGCCATGCCTGTGCCACACACATAATGGATCATGAAGGTCAAGCGTAGTGTATCTGGCACACGGCTGGTGCCAAACACACCTGAGTTCCTGATACCTCTTTGTCCACCAGCTGAGACCTCCAGCCAGCTAGCCAGAAGGATGCACTTGAGGCCCCGCTTGTATGCCCTGAGTCTTGACTTTTGCAGGACACCCCTCTTGACTTCTCTACCATAGGGCTGTCTCTGCCCATGCACAGCTGACCAGAGTCCTGGGAAACTCAGACCCCGTCCCCTAAAGGAGCAGCTCTCAACCAATGACTGATGGGCATTGGTGGATAAATACCCCAGCCCTCTCTCCCCTCAGATGGGATGACTCCGTGTGTGTGTTCTACACTCACTACCAAATTTCCCCAACCGGGATTAACCTCCAGCTGCCCACAGTAAACACTCTCCCTATTGACTGCCTCCCCTCCCCAGTCTTACTTTCCTCTTGCTTCCTTTGTTTTTTCTTTTTCAATCGAGGTGAGTTCACATAACACAAAAATAATCATGTCAATGTGAATATTTCAGCAACATTTAACACATTCACACTGTTGTACAACCATCAGCTCTATCTAGTTCCAGAATATTCTCATCCCCCCAAGAGGAAACCCCATCCCCATGAGCAGTCACTCCCCCTCCCCCAGCCCCTGGCAACCACTAACCTACTTTCTGTCTCTGTGGATGTGCCTGTCCTGGACATTTCATATAAATGGAATCATACACTATGGCGGCTTCTTGTGTATGGTTTCTCTCACTCAGCTCGTGTTTTCAAGGTTCATCCATGTTGTAGCGTGTATCAGTGCTTCATTTCTTTTTACCACTGAATAACGTTCCATTGTATGGACATACCACATTCTGTTTATCCACTCATCTGTTGATGCACATTTGGGCTGTTTCCACCTTTTGGCTATTCTGAAATGTGCTACTCAGAACATGCATGTGCATCTATTTGTTTGAGGACCTGTTTCCTCTTCTTTTGGGTTCACTTTTTTCTTCCTTACTGGTATTTTCAGCAATGAGTTCCCAAATAAGTTACTCGCACTCAAATCTTAGCCTTTGAGTCAGCTCCTGAAGGCATCAAAACAAAGTGGGGGAGTAGCAATAACATGAAAGACACGGTGGGCAGATACGAAGCACTCACTGTGTGCCGTGCACTGTGCTCAAGCCTCATCTCGTGGAATCTTACAGCAGTCCTCAGAGGCAGGTCCTATCGTTATCTCCATTTTCCAGATGAGGAAACCGAGTCTCAGCTCAGCTTCTCCAACTCAAGGGAGATGGGATCTGGTAGAGGTCCCCTGAGCTCCCACCAAGGGCCAACGTCAATCACTGTTACTTTGGGGGCCCACAGATCTCAGATAACCCCAAGGAGATTCCTGAAAATGATTGGGTCCTGCTTTCTAGCCAGTCCTACCAGCCCAGGGTTCCCTCTGTGCTCCGACAGGGCAACACAGCTAAGGGAATCTCTGTAGTCCAGGTGCTCCCCTGAGCCCTCAAACCCCACCCAGCCCTGCCAGTGGTGTCCCCCACTAAGGACTTGGACTTGCTGGCTCCTCTACCAGCCAATGCCAAACCACATCATCCATGCAGAAGAAGTGAAATTTTTATTGGTTACTGCATCCCAGGAAAACAGCACAGTGAGTCATCACCAAATTTGGAGAGACCAGTTAGATGGAAGGTCTGACTTAAAGTACAGGCTCCATGACTACTCATGCTAAGAAGAAAGAAGAAGAAAGGAGGAGGAGGAGGAGGAGGAAAATAACAAGTGTTGGTGAGGATGTGGACAAATCGGAACCTTTGTGCACTATTGGTGGGAATGTGAAATGGCACAGCCATGGTGGAAAACATGGTATTTTCTTTAAAAATTAAGCTTAGAATCACCATATAATCCAGCAACTGCACTCCTGGGTATATACCCAAAAGAAGTGAAAGAGAGATCTCAAAGAGATATTTGTACACCCATGTTCATAGCAGCATTATTCTTAATAGCTAAAAGGTGGAAGCAACCCAAGGGTCCTTCAATGAATGAACCGTTAAACACAATGTGGTATACACATACAATACAATATTATTCAGCCTTAAGAAAGAGAAAGAGAGAGAAATAGAGAGTAGAATAGTGGTTAATAGAGGCAGGGAAAGGGTTGGGGGGTAGGCAGCGAGGAAAGGCTGGTAGACTAGTACAAAGGTATAAAGTTACAGTTAACTTTGGAAGCATAAGTTCTGGTGCTCGAGGGTGACCATAGTTAATAATATTGCATTGTATATTTCAAGGCAGCCAGAAAAGAGGATCTTGAGTGTTATCGCCACAAACAAATGAAAGATGTTTAGGTGATAGATATGCTAACTATTCTGACTAGATAATTATACAATATATGCAAGTACTGAAACAGCAAACTGTACCCCATAAATATGTACAAAGAAAAAATAAATTAAAATATAAATTTTTTTTTTTGTCTTTTTTTTCATGTCTGGCAACGGACGCAAACTGTACCCCATAAATATGTACAAAGAAAAAATAAATTAAAATATAAATTTTTTTTTTGTCTTTTTTTTCATGTCTGGCAACGGACCAATGGATCGCAACCCTTTA